TCCCTGCAGCAGAGCATCTGAAATAATTTCCTGAAACAATTTTTTCAAGTCTACTTCACAAAGGTGGAGTTTGATGTTGTGTCTTTGACACATCTCAAATGCAGTCTACTGGGTAGTCTTAAAGGAGTGAGTGAGTAGGAGTGAGCAGTAATTGCAAAAAAAAGTGAGCAGTAATAGCAAAGTTTGTCAGTAGATGTAGACTTTTTGAGGCATGGAGGCATTGCAGTATACTGAAAGAAAAAATTGGCGCACTTTGGTGATTAAACCATCCCACCCTCAGTTTACTCAATTTACCGTAACAAATTGTGCAAGGTTATTGCTGCAAGGAATGTTTTAACAAATTCTTAAGTAAATGAACATGTCTTAGTTTCTGAGCTTGAGGAACAGCAAAGGTATTTAGGTAATTGAATTTAAAAATTGCATTTAATGTACATTTATTAATTATGTTTAAAATATTACTGCAGTATTGTATAATCTACCACCAAATGAACTTGGAASGTTGAAATTTTGTTTCTTTGCGCATCATCTAGTACTGAATTAGAAATTAGTGGGAAGCAGTGAYACAATATGTAAAATTAATATATTCTAAATCCCTCCAATACATGCATTGTAGCTGGCGTGYATTTATTTTCTTTTTGATATGTGTCCTGACCTAAGAAGATAACTGCACAAACAATAGCCACAAAGGTATTATTCTAGTGTTGTTCCATCTACATCTAATGTGTGCTTAGTGTCTCTGCTAGTTGGTGTGTTGGTTTTGCTTGGCCCAGTTTTTGGAAGTGGGGGGGCCAAAAAAGATGGCTCCTCTGAGAAGCTTCTGGAGGCTTCCACCATGTCCAGCAGAGCCAATTGCTGTTGGCTCTGAGGGTGATGGACATGMCACTGACMRAACCTGGGCCAATTGAAGATGATGGTTACGCCTCTGTGCAAACATATTTAAGAAGAAATCAAAACAAAGGGAACACACAGTTAGTTAGAGAATACGTGAAAGATGCAGACACCAAGGTCAGTGGATGAGGGGAACGAGCTTCTCCAGGCGCCAGAGCTGGGATTCCTTTGCAGGCCATGCTGACGGCCATGATGGAGCAGGCTGTCCCCCTGCAGCCCATGGTGACCATGGTGGAGCAGGCTGTCCCCCTGCAGCCCATGGGGTCCACAGAGGGTGCAGAGATCCAACCACACCCCGTGGAGGAGGAAGGTCCCCACGCCAGAGCAGGCGGACGCCAAGAAGGGGGCTGTGTCCAGCAGGATACCCGTGGAGAGAGAGGCCTTGCTCTCGAGATGGAACAGCCTGGCCTTGGGCCTGCACCCAGGGGACAAGGGACCCCACGGTACAGCAGTTTTGGGATGACTGACTGCCTGTGGGGGACTCACAATGCAGCAGATGTGTGTGGACTGCTGCTCGTGAGAGTGGAACCACACTGGAGAGGTTCACAGAGAACTGTCTCCCGTGGGAGGGACCCCACGGCAATGCAAGGGAAGGACTTCTCTCCCTCAGCAGCCRCAGATGATTCGGTGATGAACTGACCAACCCCACATCCTGTTTCCTCCCCCCTGCTTTGTACTRCTGGTGGGGAGAAGGGAGGGAGTGGGTGGGGAGAAGGGAGGGAGTGGGTGGGGAGAAGATTGGTGTTTTTGAGGGTTGTATTTTACTTCTCATTCTCCTCCTCTGTCTTCGTTAGTAATAAATTCACTTCATAATTTAAGTAGTGCCTGTTTTGCCCATCAAGTGTTTCCTCCCTGCTCCTTATCTCAACTCATGAACCCTTTTGTTAATCTTTTTTTCTTTGCTCTTCTCTACCCAATGTGGTGGTGGGGGAGAGTGAATGAGCAGGTGTTGTGGGTGCCTGGCTTTTGGCCAGCATTCTAAACCACAACAGTTGGCAGCTACCTTTTTATTTTTCAGTGACCTCAAAATGGTTGTCCATGTGCATTTACGTACTAAGTTGTAGCCTGATATTGCCAGCTCTTTTTGAGTGTGTCAAGAAAATAGTATTTTAAAGTATTAATAGTATTCTAATATGGGAAAAATTAGGCTTTTCTTTTTAATTTTTATTAATTAAATCTCCCTCTTGTGCTCCTATGATTAAAGAGCTGTGCCCCCTCTTAAGCAGTTTAAGTTGCTTTCAATCTTTCCTTAAGCTTAGCTTTCTGTATGAATGAGTTTTGTCAGTGCCAGCATTGTTGTCTTCTACCAAGAAGATTACTCCTCAAAAGCAAGTGGCTTTTTTAAGATTCCATTAGAAGTTGGGATTTTGTTTCACTCTGAGCAAGCTGAAAAAGCAACTCTGTCCTGTGATGATGACAACATAGTAATGTTATTTGATCATATGATTCATTCCTATATAGCACCAGATCAACATGCTGAAGCAATTAGCAATCAGATCTAAAAAAACTGGTTGTATTTATGCCTATGGTTTTAATAACTGCCTTTATYTCTTTTTGAGGTCTCAAGTGCTCTCTAAAGGATATAGCATATTGTTTGCCCCTAAAAGGTATGGGTTTCTCACATGTATTTTCCAAATTCTTAATTGGATGAGAGTTAGTGCTTACAACAGAATATCAGTTTTAGCTGAGTCACTTATTTGAGAGAAGAAAAATGTCRCCAAGTCCTAACCTATGGCACAATGGTTCAAGGTTAATATCCCTTAATACCCCATACWTTCCCATCACAATACTTTTTTGTAAGGGGTCCTAGGAAGCAAGCTGAGCATCCAGCAATATCAGTGGGAACTTCATCCTATCAGCTTGGCTTACTTCAAAATATCTGAAGGCTGTACTAAGTTGTTTCCTGAAAGTGTCAAATTTATAAGAATTCAAAATGGCATTTAGCCATGAGATTTCAGAATGTGACATTGCCTTTGATACTTTTATATTTATTTTATAAAAATCCAAAATACAACAGCAACAAAATCCAAGGTGGAAGAACTTGATAAATGTTTATGCTCAATGGCACATACACCTCAGCTAGAAGGATTAATGGGAAGGTAGGGTTTTACCCCAAAGACTTAAAGGGGAGGGGGACAATGAGGAAGCACTCAATTGTTTTTGTTTAATTACAGCAATATTATTTTGATCATTTAGCAGATGTTTTGCACTTGTTTTTCAACATAGGTATTTTTTAGGCTCATTAGTCATCTGGAATAATGAAGAGCTTCATTGAATTTTGCAGCTACAGTTGATACTTGGACTTAAGTGTTTCCTTAGTGTCTTTAAAGTGGTGCACGAAGCCAAATACTCAACACAATACAACTTTCTCAAAACACAGAAAGGATTTGTTTTAGTATGCTGGTGGGACTCAGTGCAGTGACATATAATTTCCCTCATCAGTGTGAGTCATAAACATTTCCTTGAAATGTATTGTGTGGTTTTGGGAGCATAGTTTTGTGTTGGTGTGGAGTTTTTTCTCTTATTGTTGTTGTCCTAAGTTTCTTTAAGCAAAAGAATCAGCTGACTTCCACAAGGCCCAGTGGCCCAAAGTATTGTACCAACATGGTCATAGGTAGTATCAGGACCTGGTAAAATTCCTTCACTCTAAGATCCTTGATGCATGATGCCATGAAAAGCATGCATTGGTAGCACTCAATTTTTAACTGATTTAATGTTTAGATGGCTATATTTCTCGGGGGGGCGGGGGGGAAGTACCTGTATTTAGTTTTTAATTTCAGTATTTTGGAAATCTGTTGCCTTTTTTCAACTTATTCTTAAATATTCATGCCTGCTTAGCACTTAGATGCATAAAGTGAATTTACATTGGAAAATTCTGAGATGTTTGTGGACAAGCTGAAATGGTATAATTTGTGGTGAAAATGTTCCCCAGCATAAGTTTGGCCTGTTCCAACTACTTACTATTCCATCAAAGAATTCCCAGATGTGGTATGGGGCTGCGACAGCAGAGACATTTTCCAGTATGCACTTCTTACGCCCTCCCCCTGCTCTGGAGACTGGCAGATTCCTATAAGAGATAAGAACTGTTCTGCACTGCTTGGCTTCAGGGCCTGGTAATATTTGTAGGTGCACTTAGTGGTTAGTATAGATGTAGAGCTGTATCTTCTTACATGTTGGAGTAAAGATCTTGTYTTTGGCAGGGTAGTGCCAATATAACTGATTTTATAAATGGGCCTTCTTCAGTGCAGATTTAGAAAAGGAAACAATTTCTTCTGGCAGGTGTGCAAGAACAACAGAAGCTGAGGCACTTAAATCGGCTGAGTGTAGCATGCAAATTGGCATACAGTCCATGCAATTGTTAGGTTTTTTTGTTTTAAAGTTAGCCACTTCTCCCAAATACATAATAGRGTCGTTCCAGCTTCATATTTTGTATTTCTGTGGTAATAAGAATGCAGAAKTGTGGTGGTTGTGGTTTTTTGCTTTCCCAGTTGAAATGAAAATGAGATTTACAGGTTCAGAATAAATGCTGGAAATCGGAGGAGGGCATCGATAAAATGATCTTCCCCACACACCTCTAAATKGTTATCATTAATATCTCTGGAATCACAAATCCAGCAGAATTGAAGTGAAGCCCAGAATAAACTCCAGTGAAATTAATACTTGAAAATATTTTGGCAGTCTTTTTCCAATAGGAAGGCTGCCATTCTGGGTATAACTGCTAGATAACCTGATTTCTCTTTTCAAATAACTTTCTATTTAGGCTCCTCCTTGTTAGAACAGGGCTGTCTTCAGGTCTTGCTTAACTTCTTGCTTGTGTAGCTCCTTGGATTATTACTGATTAAAAAAATAATTCTGTCATTCCTAATAAATTTCCTTCTTTTTTTTTCCAAAAAAGAATTTTTGCATACATTGCATACATTTTGCATACACTCCAAAAGTCTGTCTCAATTTTTTTTCTGTTTTTCAAGTAATGGAGAAAATAATAATTGTTTCTGTTAAAATCCTCATTTTCTTGGACCACTCTAAGTTTAAAATCTACAAAACTTACTTATTACTGCTTGCTGACACAAAACTAAATTAAGATTATTTTAAAGATTGTGGTTTTTTTTCAGGAGGACCCAAATGATATCGACCCCAAAAGGAAAGAATTGCGTGGCAATGATGGGGAGGACAAGGCACAAAGTGTGGAGACGCTACCTCCAGGTATTGCAGTAACGTTTGTTATGAAAGATTCATAGCCATAAATTATTTATCATTAAAACACGTAAAACACAGCAGTTGTTCTGATTCTAATAATTCTTTGTAGTTTGAAAGTGCTAGGATTATTTTAGCAACATGTATTTTTCTGTTCTTATGGCTTCAGCATCCTTAAATCTTGCTTCACTGCTCCTTTGAGTTTAAAATACAAGGGAGTGTGGTTCTTTGCTAGTATGTTTGTATTGTCCTTCAGTAGGTTTGAGGTACTGAAAAAGCCTCTGGTACAAAGGTAGTYTATTTCTCTTGGTGTATGATGCTGGCAGATAACAGACAAGTCACCTTGGGACTACTGTTTTGACTGAAGATTCAGCCAAGGTTCATACTTTAGCTTTTTGTCTGGCTTTTGATTTGACAGATTTTCCTAACTGTGCTGCTAGCTTACTTTATTTTTTCTCATACTTGCTCAGTATTTATCACATGTTGGAAAACAACAGAGCAATGTGATTTTTATTTTATGATTCTCATGCCTTGAGGATGAGCTAGGAAAATTAAGTGTTAAGGAATCTTCATTTCACGTGAATGCTTCCACAAACTTCTTTTGCAACGCTTAACTATTTCACATCAATGAGATTTCATATATAGCTACAACTGACTTACTAAGGCATGCAGAAAAATGCAAATTGAATGTGAATATTTTACACAATTGAAAATGTTTAACTTATGTGAAGGACAACTATGGATCAGAYGGCTTCACAGGTTTTGCTTCTCTTCTATTAATCCTCATGTTTTGCCTAGAATTTTTTTTTTGTAATGGCTGTACATTTGAAATACTGTGAGTTCTTGCASAAAGAACTAGCTGAAGTAAACTTTTTTTTAAGCAGCTGGGAACTTCCATCCCCAGGAACATGTAAGGYATGATTTTTCTTTTTCAGTTATAGGCTCTCCAGGTGCAGTATAAGCTCTTTGCTATTGATGGCTTTTTTCCTGTATTCTTTGGCGTACTGTCATGGTTTTGCTTGGTCCAATTTTTGGTGGTGGGGGATGGGGATCAAGAAACCACAAAGATGGCTGCTGTGAGAAGTCCTAGGGGTGTCTCCTTCTTCTTCTCCAGCAAAGGGAGCCCTGCCCCCCCTCCTGTGTTTCAGAGCCAACCCATCATTGGTTCTGAGGTTGATGGACAGGCTGACCATCAGGCCTGGGCCAATTGCACAAGATAGTTACACCTCTGTGATGACGTATTTTGTTGTATTTAAGAAGGAATTCAAAACAAGATAGATGCAGCCGCCATGTTTAGGTTAATTGATAGCATGTAGTTTTAGTATCTTGCACTGGAAAAAAAAACAGAGCAAGAGGGTGAGGAGATGTAAGAAGAAAAATGGAGATACCTCAAGATCACAGAACAGTAAGGAGAAGCTGTGCCCTTGCTGTGGTTCTCGGACAAGCTGGAGGAGATAAGTTGTTCTTGAAAAGGACTATTTCCATCATACTGAGAGAGAGACCTGTATAGAGAAGTAAAGCGACCTTGCTGTGAGGGAAAAAATCCTGGCCTTTTGAGGACTGGACTGTTTTTGATTATGAAGCCAAGAAATAGAGAAGAGGTTTGCTCCCCCCACGACGTTTTGATGTAGAAGAAGCTGTGTTTTGTGTTCTGCCAGGAGGTTTGTGATAATCGGACTCACGTCGCTGAAAAAAACAACATGGGCTTTGAAGGACATTTCTCCTGCGAGGTAAAGAAGTTCCTTTCTGCTATTAGCAGTTTTACACTGACTGTTTCTCAGAAAAGGACACATCCCACAGCTGGAGCTGTAAGAATGTTTTATCCTACAATGCTTGGACTACAGCTGAGTGTTTTGATCTGTGTTAGACTTTCATTCTCCTGCCCCCCTGTGTGTGAGGGGCAACATGGGAGGGGTGGAGATGGGGGGACTTGGAAGAAGAGATGGGTCCCTGGGAAAGTGTAACAGGTGTCTTAAAAAATGTCCATTTTATTTTTCTTCTCTTTGTAAATATCCCTATCTTTGTTTTTCACCCAGTGCCATTCTTAGTAGTGTGTAGTAATAAATCTGTTTTGCAACTTAAGTTATGCAGCCTGTCTGACTCTTTGTGGAGTACATAGGTATCTTTCTTCCAATTATGTTTATCTCAAAGCCATGAGTATTTCGTGTTAATTGGGTTTTCGCTCTCTCTCTCTTCTCCCTCTCCGGTGGCGGGGGAAGGGAACGTCGTGGGCACAGTTCAAACCACGACACGTACCTTATCCTAGCTGCGGTCTGGAGGAGGAAAATAAGACTGCTATTGTACGTACACGTTTTTGGCAAAGCCTTTACTTTTGTGTATGTGTTGAGAAATAAATCACAAAAGGCTGAAGATCCTRGCTTTTTAAACTTGGTTTCTGTTCTGGCAGATCTTTTCAAGTATTTGTTCTGCTTAACCGAACTGTCTACACATTTTATTGCTGGGGTTAGATCAGCTAATTTTGCACCTTCCATCTGTTCTTCTTATTTCTCCTTTTTGAATGTTTATGTATTCTGGGCCAAACCTTATGCTTTCCCAGTGRCCCTAAGTAGCTTATTGGAGTATTAAAAGAAGTGGGAAGTGTCACAGGTTGAAAGGGAAAGCTATCAGATGCTGGAAGTGTTGAACCTTGAAGTAAGAGTTAAGTGTAAAAAATAGAGCAGGTCATGGCTTTTTTTCATTTCATATGTTGATTAGTAGTCTCTCATGGCCTCATGTGATAGACAGGAGAATTGTTACTGCAAAGTAGTATCAGAATCTGGAATCAAACATCAAAGGCTTCGTGGACAGAACTTTACATGCTTAAATCGCTTTTTTTTTTTGTTAATATAGGCAACCTTCAGAATCTTTATGTTAGTGAAGTTTGGTTATTTTTGCAGACTCTTGCAGATCATTTACAGTGATCAAATTTTAGGATAGCTTTGGTTCAAAACTTTTTCACTGTTCCACTGAGTTTTATCGATCTCTAATTTAAGTTTCAGCATGATGCAGTAGCTGAAACTACAGAACTTCCTGGAATTAAGGAACTGTTTGTTATATTTATCTTTAAAATGTCTTTATATAAAGATTAAACTGTTCTGTGAGAGTGTATCCATCGTTTGTTTTTTGGTGACTTTTTGATATGCTGCAGAAGTCTATTTTTTGTTTTGTGAAAGTAGTGATGTTTAGCTCTTGTAGTTAGAAAGATCAAACTTGAATGGTCTACATGGATAACTAAAGCAAAACTRTATAACCACTTGCCTGTACTGGCAGGAGTTTCAGCACTTACTCAAACACTTCTTTTGTTAGTTAATGAAGATCTGGAACCTCTTAATGCACGTAAGTCAAAATATTCATATTTGTGCTGAATATCCCACTGCTTTTAAGCTGTATTGAGTCAGTAGGAGGGAATGCAAGCTATTTAGAGGATTTTGTATCCATCTGTTCTTAGTCTTTGCTGCTTGATTGTGTACAGATTTATCTGCTATGCGTTTTCCTCTTCTATCTCGCTTCAAGCTGCTGTTACTGTTACCTGACTTATCTCTAATAGATCTGATTCCTATTGCACGCAGCTGGCAGGGCTTTTGCTGGAGTCAGGGCCAGGCACTACCTCCTTCATGGTTCCKGACGCCAAATTCACATCTTCTGTGGGCTGTCACTGCTTTAGTAAACATAGCCCTACAAAGTGGTCTCCTTTGTTCTTAAACGTGCTTTATTCTTTCCCGCCTAGTTTTGCATTTGCTGGTTTTCAAAGTCTTGGAAAATGATAAATGAGACATTTTTAAGGATTTATATGAAGCTCTACTTGGATGGAAAATGGGACAGAAAGAAGCAGTGTCACTGGATTTCACCTTCTCCTTGTTTCTGCTCAACTTTTTAGACTTTGAATACTTTGTAAAATAAATACTTGTCAAAACCAAGTTTAGTACTGCAGCATACTAGCATCTGGTTCCAGGGTCTTAGCTAATTCAGTGGTTGGGGTTTGGATTTTCAATTTTTGCCTCAATTTTACTCTGGTAGCAAACTCTGCAGTTGGTTTACTGTTGTTTAACAGACTAACTCATTGTCATGTTACGTCTCGGTATAAGTAAACTCATGTTTGCTTGAATTTGAAATTGTTAGATCACCTAATTTAAATTTGAGATAATGTGGCTGCATTTTCTGTTATTTATTTCTCCTGACAGTCATTGGAATGCAGGAAACTATAAARCCATTTAACTCCTCAAGAGAAATTCAGTCATACTCCTATTTGTGTACTCTAAGGAAGCATATCACAGAAATTGCACTTCTTATTGGAAAAGCTTTGTTAAACAACTTCCCACTTCAAAATATAGTTGAGGATTCAGAAAGGCAAGACTTTCAGCAATAGTAAGGCTGGACAGTTTCGTTGGCTTTGTACCAGCCTTTCACTTTCCAGCATTTTACTTGAACCTTTGTCACGTGTAAATGTGTGTGCAGCCCATGCCACATACTGCATGTCATAAAGAACACAAGCTGTTTAAGAGGAATGCTTCTGACGGCATCACTGCTACCACTGATGTGATGCCCTCATGGTCTCTTGTGTTTTAGCTGCACTTTCCAGTGGAAGGAAGGCAACTGGAGGAGACGTTGTGGGTGGTAGTCCTGAAATGGGCATAGCTTTAAAATCCATTGAAAGCTGGAGTGTTTGAAAGTTGGAAATCTATATGCATGTGTTTTAAGTGTGCATTGTATTTTGTAAAGTGGACTAAAATCTTTATTTTTAGGCCAGAAAAGCAGTGGCATTAGATATTCAGTATTTTAAAAAATATTCATCAAATGTTTCAGATTGAATGTCTATTATAAGTTAGAAGCAAGGGTGATAATATAGTTCAGTTACCAAGGAGATTGCAGAAGCTTTGGGAAATGCTGAAGGAGAGAATTGTATGGGGAGATGATCTTGTGATCTCTGTTTCTTCCAGTTTCTTGAATCAAGCTGCTCTTGCATTTTGTATAATTTTATCACAAATGAGGTTTGGTGTAATTTTTCTAAATAACTCCACATTGGCATATTTGCAGTATTAGCTGGCTGAGGTATAAAGTTTTCAAAGTAAATTCCTGGAAATATTTTGAAGAAAGAAATTGAGAGCTAAGAAAAGCTTTTGTCAATCTGTGGGCTACCAACAACAGCTGTGAAGTTTCCTTTTCASAGTTCTTTCAGTGATGGGAATTTGAAAATCCATATTTCTCCCCCCAGTTATTTTCTCATAGTTTCCCTTTTTGGCCACTTCAAGAAGTTTCTACTAAATGTTCTGCATTCTGTTTTTGTTTAACTCTCTAGTTCTAGCTTCTGGGTGTGTGCATGCACATGTTTTATATTCTTTTGGATGGTAATTCAAATATAAAAAAATAGTTGCTTAGTTTTGACTAGCTGAATCTTAAAACCAGTAATCTGAAAGCATGGACACATCTCTCTTTWTTCTCTTGGACTTTTCTTAAAAACAAAGAAAACAATCCCAAACCCACCTCCCTCTCAGCCTTGCTACTTTTCCCTTAGAACCTCCACTACCATCTGATGTCCAAATCACATCTTGCATCCAAGTTGCTTTTATGGATGAACTCCTTGGATGGCTCTGAGATTTCAGAGGGTGTTTAATCAAGTTGGTGTATTTGTCTCATTAAACAAAGATAAATTATTTTGTTTAATGATGAAAAGTGTGTTGTTGTTATCAGTCTAGCAGGAGTTAATGTGCCGTAGTTGGTGCATAGCTGATGGATAGAAAGCTGTAAATAAGGCCTGCCTTAGTTTCCATGCTGTGCTGGTTGAGAGACCAAACAAAGCCAAGCAGACCTTGGAAAACCTGAGCAACCTGTAACTCTTGTTAACAGCTGGTAGAGTAGTATTCCCTGTATGSATATCAGCTTAATTTAGGACATGCCTGAACTATAATATTTTTCCTGCACTTGAATGGAGTGACATGTCTGCAACCTGCTGCTTGCTCTACTTAACTGAAAGTACCTCAAACTTCATGTGTTAATTATGAAAACAATGACTAATAGATCCTTGTGTCTGTAATAAATGGTGACACCAAAAGACAGTTTTTGCTTTGTATCTTTCTTTTTTTATGTGAGCAGTGTGCTTCTTCACCACACCTTGCTTGGAAGAAATTCTGATACACATCCATTTTTAAATGAAAGCTGTTGTGTGCATTAGGATACAGCCTCTGATTYTGAGTTAAATGTAGTATAAATCTCCTAATAGATGGCATAGCTTTGTCTGTCAATAATATGAAAGAGTAAACRTTTTACTAGAGGTAAGACCTAGTAGTTTTAAGATACTTGGTAAATATCATACTGTTGTTTTACACCTGAAAATGGTGGGACTCTTAAAATTTTTATTCCTAGTAGCTGGGTGTTAATCTGTCGTTCTGTGTTAGGGCCACAACCAGTCACATAATAGCACAGTCTGTGCTAGAGAAGGATTAATCTGAATCAGTTCTGATTRTCAAGGAGGTTGCAGTTATGTAATATCGGAGAGTGATTTTTTGATTCTGCCTACATGAAATGCTATTCTTTGAGAGTAATGTTGTCTTATATTTCTAAACTGCCTGTTTGTCAAATAGTTTGATTATAACTGACTGTGTTTTCACTCTTGTAAACCGTAAATTAAATTATAATGTCTTTGAAGCCTGGATGGGATCTTTAGATAACTTTCTTAGATAACTTTATAGCCAGATCATTTGCCATTTTACTGCCTGTTGACATGTGGATGTTTGAGCTTTTTTGAAATACAAATTGTGGTAGATGGAGTTAGAAAAATCCCAACACACAAAGTGGACAAGATGCAACATTGTCTGGTGATTACTTGGATAAACTGAGATCGGCAAAATTGTTCAATTTAATATTGATTTGCAGGATATTCTAGACAAATTTAATACAGAAAAGTTAGTTTTGTTGTTACAGTGTTAACAATACTGTTGAAGTTTTATTGCTGCAAAATTWAAAAAAAAATATTTCATCGGTAATGCTGAATGCTGTTCCTTAGATCATGAAGATTAAATTGGATATTTTCCTGTTTTTCTACTGTAGGAAAAGTTCGATGGCAAGACTTTGATCAAGATGCCTATGTTGGTGCTACTGTGGTGCGATCTGGTCAGGATCCATATGCACGGAATAAGTTCAATCAGGTGGAAAGTGACAAACTGCGAATGGACCGAAGCATTCCTGACACGAGGCATGATCAGTAAGTGCCAAACTGGGCCATGTTTGACTTGGATTAGCTTTTCTGTATTTATTGCTTTTGAGCTGCTTTTTCTGAAGCAGGAGCTCCTCAGCTTTAGAAAGGACAGTAACAGTAAACTCCGTGATCCTTGAACATTGTGGTAAAGAACAAGAAATCTTACTTAAGTTTATCTGTTTCCATTACTTCTATCAGTGTGTATTATGTATCCAAACTGGTGTGCTGCGTTTCAGCAGCATTTCTCTTTTTGTTCCTGTTTATCTGATGGCATTTCTTAGTTTCTMCATTTGTAAGTCTCTTTCACAGTGAGGATGCTCAGTGGAGCAGGTTGCGCAGAGAGTGCGTGAAATCTCCAGGCTTAGGGATATTCAAAGCCCAGTGCACAGCTTGCTGTAGCAGGCCCTGCTTTGAAGTAATTGGGACTCTGAGATCTCAAGGGCCACTTTGGATCTCAGTCACTTTGTGATTCTGTTCTTATGTGATGATTGCCAACTRTAAACCTAAAGGAATCAATTTATGCACACCCTGGTAAACATAGGACGGAATTAAACTTCAGGCTTTTTATGCAGTTTCAAGAAATAGTACACTTCATGCTAAGGAAAGTTATTATTTACTACTGGTTAGAGAAGACCTTCATTTTAAAAAGGATTTAATGACTTGCACAAGTCTCATTAAAAAAAAAAAGTTGCTTATTAGGCCTTTGTAACTTAAAAATACAAAACCAGGTTTGATTTGGTTTTAAAAACTAGGCAAGCCAGTCTCAAAACATAAAATCAGTCGACTGTATGTAGTTAATTTGCCTAACTAATTCTACAGTTAGGATGAATCTACATTCATAGGTTTGTAAGTAGAAGAAACTGGAAAAGACACCAGAAGAGGGGAGAGAAAAGGAAGGTACCTGTTTTCTCCCTTGAAGCTTTTTTATTAAAATGATGTAGTGAAGAGAGTTTGTATTAAAACTCACTGTCATTTTAAAAATTCCTTGTATAATAACATGTGTTTAGGTTTCTTTATGCAAAGTATTTGTAGATAGAGTGAAGCAAGTGTTGTTTAATTTGTTGTTAAATTGAATGGCAAAGTAGGAAGAATCTGGTGTTTCCCTTGTTGCCACGAGAGCAGTGAAAAGCATGATGCCTATGGTGTACTGAGGAGTTTAAAATTACATTTGAGTTTTCTTTGTAGCATATATACTTTTTTTTCACAAGAAATATATTCTAACTTTTTACACCAGATATGCTGGGCTATTTCAGATATTATTCAAATATGCTGAATTTGGAATTGTTTAGATATCTAATAACCTTTGGTGCAGGGGGKTTGTCTAACAAAGGCTGCCCTTTAAAAATAACTTAAATATGAGAGATGACCAGAGACAAATTATTTTATAATGGCCATGTTTRTTTTAACTGTTAGTCTTTTGATCATATGCTGACTTGCCTATGTGTTTTCACTAAATGGAGCTGAAAAAGAACCCAGAGAGAGATGTTGCTGGCAGAAGACTAAATCTGAGCTGGGAATGTTRCTTAGACTTTGCCATGGGGCAGATTTGAGTGCCCATCAAGTCTGTAAATAGTTGTCCTTTAAAGAAAAAAAACAACCAAACAGAAAAACAAACTGAAGCAATCATTCTTATGAACTGTCCTTAATGAGTTCCATGTTGCAATTCATTTTCCTTCTATTTTGGGAAGAACTTTCACTGAGGAAGCTGAAAAAGCTGCCTGAAATATTTGTTTGGGAACTGTGCTATGAAAAGAATAAAAGCAATAGCCATAGGAAAAAGAATATCTGAACACATGGCCCTAGGAAGCATGCTATTTTCTAAAAATCTCGACCCAGTCGCCTCCAATTTTAAGATCTCTCGTGGAGCTCCTGCAATCTTCTTGATTGCAAGAAACCTGGATGAGTATATACTTTGTTTCTGCTTAAGTAACTTTTTATTAATTGTATTGATGTGTTTAAGAGGCTGTTTGATTTAAAAAACTTTGCATAGCAATATTTTTTAATACCTGAAATTGACTGTTTAGAAGCAGTTTATCMGGATTCTGCATTAGATATGTAGGTGTAAGTGTAATTATGTATCTCTTAATACTACATTGTTTAGTAATTTTTRCGTTATGCAAACTTTCACTAACATGAAGAATGAAGATTTCCCCTTGCTTTTTGTGAAAGCCTGCTAGCAGTACCAGAAACACTTTTGGTTCACCTGTTTCAGCTGCTTGCCTTTGTTTTAAGCAAAAGGAAGAAGGGAGAAACAGGCAGATACAGCATAAGAAAGGAARCAGAGAGAACTCTGAGCAGGAACACAGATTCTCACTCCAGCTGATGTTCACAACTACCACTTTCAACAGCTCTGAGAAACCTCTRGGTTTCCTTTCATTTCGTGGTAGATTTTGGATATCCAGAAAGTGACAAGTGAGTGTCATAGCTGTAATAGGAAACTGGAAGATCTGTCCTCCTGTCCGTGGAAAATAGTTTCCCAAGTGGGATGAAGGATGAAATACTCCGTGTTTTTTGTAGAACAACATTCACCATGTATGCTTTGGACTAGTGATTTCTGATCACATCTCCTAAATGATGTGTTGTGATGWTTTTTAAGAATTACTCTGAAGTACCAGAGTTGCACTAAGCTGTGGGTTTTTTTCTCATTTGGCATCTATTAGAATCTTCTGACCTCACACTTGAATTTTTATTCTTAAGTATAGAGAAACAAACTTTCYTGTACCTTTGGCACCGGTTGAGGTGAATGTTTTCCTTGCACTGCTTAATTTTTTTTCTGTCAAAAAGTGGTTTCAAACAAATCACAGAGGCTTTGGGAAAAAAAATTGTTAATTAAATGAACTAGTACAAATCTCTGGGAGAAAGAATTTTCATATTTTGACTGATTTTAATGACCTATCTAAACAATGAAGGTCTAGATTGAAGTTTTCAATTCTAGTTCTATCTTAACTAAATGTATTTTCTTACTCTGCATGTAAAATTTAACTGCTGCAGCTTGAAGAGACCAAGTTTAATCTCCATGCCAAAAGTAGTGATCTTGTTTCTTTGGTTTGAATTTTAACTGTTGACCTTGTTGACACAGCAGAATAAGACTGATACTGAGTCAGTTAAAGTGGGGATTTATGAAGAGCTGAAAATGGTAATACTTGATGAAATATTCCTCCAGTTTTATTTGGAAGTCTAAAAGCTGAATTTTTCCCTCAGAAATATGCAGTTGTGCTCTTCTCTTGAGTTTCTTTAAAATTGAGAGGCTTCATTGCCTTGAATTCCCACTAATATGTACTCTGGCTCAAGTGCACTCTTCTGCAAAGAGATCAATGTAAGTTTAATGTCACTTTTTAATTATTCTAATGGAAGTGCTTCATATGATAACTGCATGCACAGTTAGCCCTGTCCTCTGTGGGCAGTTCGAAAGTTAGCRGAATAATATCTTCTTTGGCACCACAGGCTTTGGAGTACAATAATGGCATGTCTTTTAGCTGTCTAGATCAATTGTCAGAAGCTCACACTAGAGAAGCTCTTCTTTATTTTTCAGGAATGCATAGGCATTTGAGATTTATTCATTCCATGCTGGGCACTAGTGAAAAAGCCATGTTGTACACTCACCACAAAGCTAGAGATGGCCCTGCTACTCTGATACAGCAGTTGTAGGCTTGTTACAGGCTCTGCTTTTGCTCAGCCATAAGTCACTGCAGCATGATAATGCTTTGTTTCACGCAGGCCCTAAATGTGTGGTGTGTGACACTATGGGTGTATTGTATCAAAAATACCACTGTATTTTTGGGATTTTGTAGTGTGGCCAAAGACAAGAAGCATTGCTGCTTGCTCTGATTCCAAGAATTTGGACGTTTCATTGTTTAAGGTGCATGTTGCAGATGTTTAATCAGGTGTCAAGTGGGCTCTTGTATAGGCAGAGGCCTGGCTTAAGAAGTTTAGGTGGCAAACTTCCCTTAAAAGCTAGTCTGATAATACTGCACAGAGAACAGAAATTGAATTGCTTAAATAAATACTGAAGTCAATTGCTGAATTTGCTATAGATGTATGCTAATTGGGTTTATTCCCTCTGAATAGGACCTCAACAACTAGACCTCTTAAAACTCTACCCTTAATTAAAGGACATGGAAGAAATATATCACTAGTGTGTGTGTCACTGCACAAATGGTACTCAGTATMGTCACTTTGTAATGCTTTTGGCATAAACTCAATGTATGTTGTTTTCTAGTACTGCTAGTTTCTTCTACAATGAGAATAGTGTCTTTCTTAGGTTTATTTTATTGGATTAAATAGCTTAACTGTATGTAGTCCTGCAGGAAGCATTTTGGGATTTGCTTTGTTTTGCTGATTATGTTTAAGGTTTCTAGAGGTAATAAAAAATTAGTTAATGTAGATGGAATATTTCATTATCTTTATGGTTTGAAAKGGTATGGTTCTGTGTTTAGTTGGCTCAACATTGTCACAGCTGGCTCTGTTTTTCAAATTCTGAGTGTTATAATCCTTACAAGTTCTCATTAGAATAGAAAACTAATTTTATTTATGAGCAGGATTAGGATGTTATGGGAGCTTTAAAAGTAAAGGGAGAAGTGGACACACATCATTCTAAAGAAATATATGGTAGCCTGTGAACTTGTGCATTTTCATTGAAAATATGCTTATTTCCTTAGATGTATTGAATACTTTTAGTGTCAAAGAAGGGCTCTCTGGTTTCATACTCAGCTGCACAAAAGACATTTGACCTAGTGCAGTGTTGATGGTCTGGTGGATTTCTGAGTCTGTCCATATCTGCCAGTTCTTAAGTGTTTTGTGTACTGAGAGAGCTACCAAAAGTGTCAGGAGACAGGTTGATTATAATCTCACTTGAAAGTTACTTTTTCTTCTTAGGCAGGGTGTATATGAGTTTAATAGATAAATACTTTGCAATGAAGGCTGTCTGCTGAACCTGAGATGTAAAAATTATGTTCGAATGACAAGTTATTATTTCTTTCAGGTGTCAGCGGAAACAATGGCGGATAGATTTGCCAGCCACTAGTGTGGTGATCACCTTTCATAATGAGGCAAGATCTGCTTTGCTTCGAACTGTTGTCAGGTATGCATAAGAGAGCCTAATTTTTCTCTAAAGGCCATTCATTTGTGTCAGATAACAGCCTATGATAAAAAAGGAAAGTAACAACTCATTATGTTCTGAACTATTTGCAGAGGAAAAGATGAGTCTTAATTTCATTGAGACCTTCAGTTCTTAAATTGTGAAATAATGATATTAAACAAAATTGCTCACCTTAAGTAAAGACGCATGAAAGTATGGGACCAATTACCAGATGATGTTTGGAGGCTGGCTCTTYCAGGAAAAAGACAGAGTAGATGGAYTCCYAGGTGATATTTGACTCAAAGATACCTGCAAAAGTTCTATGTTAGAGTTGTCCAATGCGCTGATTTCTGGAGGCTGGAATGGGGGGGTGGGAGAGGTAGGGAGGCATGGAAAAAGGAAAACACTTAAAATTATACATGTGCCATGCTTTCTGTAAGAATAGGCCAACAGCTGTTGTTGCACATAACATCCTGGGCTAGGTTCTATTGCAGCTCAACAAAGTAACTGCTTTTATGACATTTTTATGGGAAATTAACACTGCTTGAATGCCTTTTTTTTTGTCCATTTCAGTGTCCTTAAAAAAAGTCCATCACATCTTATTAAGGAAATCATACTGGTGGATGACTACAGTAATGATCGTAAGTACTTTTATGGGGTCACACCTTACAGTGCTCATTCTGGTAAGATTTCATTTAGAGGTGACAGTGACTCAATTGAGAAYAGAATACATGAATAGGAGTTTGCAGAGACTTAGCCAAAACAAAGTCTTAACTCTTCTATGTCTGTCATTATGGAAATGTGAAGAGTTTCTATAAATATTTCAGGTATATCTTACTGCTTCCTGTTAGCTGAAGGACAAGAGTGTGTCTTTAAAAAGACAATTTTCATAGTATGTTGTCTTAAGTAAAAATAAAACCCATGGTTCTTGCAACAAATATTTTTGTAGCGCTGTTGTAAATGAATGCCTGTCTCCATCAGTCTCTTGAAAAAATTCTTACTGAATCTAAAGTAAGTCAATGTTTTGTRGGTACTATGGTTTCATGACACAAGTTTAAACAATCGGAATAGATCTCAGAGTTGTATTTCTTAAGAGAAGCTAATTTTATATTTGCATTATGTCTTGGTTTGAAAGATAGGTGTTTGCCGATGAAGGCAGGGACCCCCTTGGAGTGGTGGATATGGCCCCCCCTTCCCTCCGAATTATTTGAAACTTTGAAATACTTTGAAAATCACGGGCTTTCAGKCAAGGATATGGGTAAAAGGGAATAACGGTTTTTACTAATATGTATAACAAGGTGAAACAAGTAACAATAACAATAGCAACAACTGCCCAGTACCAAACTCAGCCACAGCCTTACAGAGACACACCCTCCCCTTTGGTGCAGTTACAGTCCCAGTCGGCAGGGGCGCTGTTGGCTCCTGGCTGGGCAGGGCGGGTACGATGATTCCTCAGCGGCTGCAGGGGGCGTTGTGGCACGGGTCCTGGCTGGCTCAGATCTCCCGCGTCGCCAATGATGGACACAAAATGGCAGAGGTGGATGGAGAAAAGTTTCTCTGCAAAACTCACAGCGGAAACGCCGATCTCGGTGCTCCTCTGGACAGCAAGAAACCCAGGATGGCAAAGAGACAAGCAGAAATCCCGCGGCT